TCAATATGAGTTCACCTTCTGATTTATAAACGGAGCTATAAGAACACGCAGTTATCGGCACACTACAAACCAAGCATCTACATGTTCCGAGTATTACGCAAACCCAATGCCAGCTGACGGCTTCATTAACATCCGTATCACGCCTGACCTGGTATTAAGGAAAAAAAATTACTTACGCCTATGTTAGACGTCAGGTTGTGACAAAATCAACCCCATAGTCCTGCAACAGTGTGCTGAAGTCCTCTGTTTACCTTTATGCAACCTGGTAAGGCATTCACTGGAGTAACACCGACTCCCAGCTGAATGGAAACAAGCTACTCTGTCTCCAATCTTCAAAGGAGGAGATAGAAAGGACCCAGACTGTCACAGACCTGTCGCACTAGTTACTATATTATCAAAGGTTATGGAAGGACTAGTGGACAAACAAATGAGGGAGTACATGGATCAGAATAAAATACTCCATGAAACTCAACACGGGTTTCAGAAAGGCAGGTCGTGTGCATCTAATCTTCTCATCTCATGGGACAGTTGGACATCCTGCTTGAACCGTAAAATACCAGTGCACACAGTATTTCTCGACTTCGCAAAAGCCTTTGAAACAGTGCCTCACGCACCTTCAATCGAAAAGGTTGTGATAATGGGCTTCACTGCATTGATGATCCTTGGTCCCATTCTTTCAGTGCCTATAGTGCTTGTTTAGAGAGCATCAGTGAGACTCCTTGAATATATGTGAAGCATTTTCTTTTTCATGACTACAGCATAACAGTACTTCTCCTGAAGCTAGTCTCAGTTGTCCTACCTTTGTCCAATGCGTTTCTTTATTATAAGAACATCGAGGTTGTGAAAATGAGCTTCACTGACCCACTACTATCTTGGCTTAGAAACTACCTTGAGAATAGAAAGTTTGGCACCAAGGTAAACAGAGTGCACGCGAGTTGGAAAGTATCCACTTCGGAAGTTTCACAGGGGACAGTCCTAGGCCCACTCCTCTTCTTGATATTTATAAACGACCTGCTAGGCTCAGTTAGCTCATCGGCATTGATCTACTCAGACGATGCGAAGATCTGAAGGTCCATTAGGAGTGAAGACGATTCGACTGGGCTTCAAAAAGGCCTTGCATCTATTGAAAAACGGTTTAAAACTCAACCAACCTAAGTGCCATGTCATGCATTTCCTGCCTCATATGACGCTAACGACCTCTACTCTCAATGAGAGTCTGCTCCCTTATGTCTCCCCACAGCGCGATCTTGGTTTATTAACCAAAGAAAGCCTCCACACCAGTCCAAACTATGTAGGAGATTCACACAAGTCAAATGCGACTCTTTACTTTATGCGAAGACAGCTTGTGCTATCACCTCGAAATAATTTATAACCCTGTTCAAGACGTACGCGCGTTCACACTTGGAGGTTCACAACGTCATCGCACCCACTCTGCTCAACAGAGACATATATCTCTTGGATCGAGTGCAGAGACGAGCAACGAAATAGGTGATAGGGTTGAAAAATAAACCCTACTACGATTGACTCCAGCTCTGAGGATTATTTCCACTGAGCTACAGGAGAATCAGAGGTGACCTGATTATGGCGTACACCATATTGAACACACCAATTCATCACAATGTGAGCATCCTGCCGATGCATCACCGCCACTCTCCTCGAGGCAATCCTTGAAATATTGCACATCAAAGAACGAATACTCAGATTCGTGCACACTTCTTTTCATTGCGAGTCCTCACAACTTGGAATGCTCTCCAAGCCGAAGCACTTACAGCCCCTTAGTTGACTGCTTTAGGAAGAGACTTGATAATCACGTACACACACACGAACTATCATCCCCCTCGTGGACAAGCTGTTCATGATGCATATCTTCAGAGCTGCAAGATGTTATCGTCGCCATCTCCTCAGATCACTCAATTATTCTATCTTGGCCTATTATATCTGTTTCCTCTCCCTTGGTTACGCTTCGGTCTTCTCTCACAATCCCAACTACCAATTACCAAACTAAATTCACCTATATGTTATTCAGTTCTGAAATTTTATTCATGTTATCATTTTAATTTATCCTTATTACCCTTATTACTCTCTACATCGCAACTAACTGATCTCCGGTTTGATAATGTGACGGCTGCTAGTATCCAGAAACCCTACTGCCCTGAAACAAACGTTTCATTCAAATCCCGAGACATAAAAACTCAGAACGAACTGCCAACTGACTAGAATTAGACAGTCGAATGGCTAGACCTCCATCCATTCGACATTACTGAAGACCTGCAACCGTACCGAAAGAACGAGAATCGAGCACGAAGCAATCAAATTGGTTTACACTAGCTCGTGAAAAAGATATTGGTTTATAGATATTTGAGACGTTTTCACATTTCATCCAAAAGTATCAAATATTCACTTGTGATATGAAAAATTGGATTTGAATAAGATAACTGTGTAGAAAATATTTGCTGTTCTATCAATTGTCGGATAAATTAGTGGAACACCGTATAAGCCTCGAAATTCACCAGCCTGTTGCCATCAAACTTGGCCGTCTACGGAGTCTTTCATTCTGCCTTTTTGAGGATTTTGATGAGGTATCCTTCTTTGCAGTCTATTGGTACTTGTTCCTCATACAGAATCTTCTTGAATAGAATGTGAATTATTTTTGCAGATGCTGCTTACATTGTTCCTGCTGGTATGTTGTCCGGTCCTCCTGCTTTGCCGTTCTTGATTTTGGCCATGCTGATTTCTTTAGTTTCAGTAGCGCCAACATCAATTTAGAGGTCCTTAGATGTTGCTTCGATGATTGATTGTTTCAGTGGAGCTGCTCGATTCAAGAGTTATTTCAAGTGTTGTAACTACCTCTTTCGTCATTCTTCGGGTTTGCTAATTTATTTACCTTCCATGCTTTTCATTGGTCATTCTGGTTTACGATGGTTTTAAACGAGCTTCTTTGTTGTGTCGTACAATTGTCTCAAGTTTCCTTTTCATGCAGCATCTTCCGCTGTCGTTGCTAGATCATCCACAAATTTACGCTGGTCAGCTCTGGCGTTCATCTTCCCTCTCTGTTCGCTTTGTTTCATTCAGCTTGTGCCTTGCCTTTCTTCACTCTTATTCCGCTGACAATGATTGCTGCCCTCTTATTCTTTTTTTTAAAATTTTTTACACAGCACCAGCAAGTTCCATTGATTGTGATGGTGTTCCATGTGCTCCAGAACCTCCTGACATGTTGAAGTGATTACCTCTTCCATCCTCCACCAACTGTTCTCCTTTCTATGTCCTCTCTCCAATGAGTAGATCCTGAAAGGACTGGAACTGATTGCTGAACGCTTTTTCGAATTTGTTGAGTTTTACGGCCGTATTGAACTTCTGTGATGTTGTCTGCCTGGTTGTGCATTGCTCCTTTCTTTTCAGTTTCATTTTGCCGACCGGTGAGTAGTGATATGATGCTATGTCGGAGCCTCTCTTGGTTCTTATATCCTCTACAGTCCCTTCAAACTTATTATTGATACAGATGATGTCCATTTGATTCTGAGTAATATGACCCGGTGATATCCATTCATCTTTATGTATGCGCTTGTGTGGGACCTATTTGTTGAAGGGACATAGGTTTGCGAATTGCTTCTACTGGGACATGTCGTTCCATAATGTCCTGATGTCGGCTGTTGTCCATGGCAACCTTGGCATTTGGGTCTCCCATCAGAATCGTCAAGTCCATTAGCGAACATCTGTCGAAAATTGACTGCACAATTTCGTAAAACTGATCTTCATCGTCATCACTGTAGTCGTTGACAGGTGCAAAGAACTGAATGATGTTCATTGTAACGTCTTCTTTCTTTGTTTGATGGTTGCATTGATGATCCTTCTTCCCATTCTTTCAGTGCCTATAGTGCTTGTTTAGAGAGCATCAGTGAGACTCCTTGAATATATGTGAAGCATTTTCTTTTTCATGACTACAGCATAACAGTATTTCTCCTGAAGCTAGTCTCAGTTGTTCTACCTTTGTCCAATGCGTTTCTTTATTATAAGCACCTCGGAGTAGTCTCTTTTAATTTTTTCAGGAGCTTGAATTGTCTTCTGGTTTTTCACAATGATCGTACTTTCTATGTACCTAAAACAGGTTGCTCTATTTGTCAGAATAGTCATCAACCTCGTGCCTTTTAAGATAATTCAGCTTATATCACAGACGTCATTTTTCTTCTTCCAACTCACAGGAGAGTGTTGAAATATTTTGATTTATATTTTCGTTTGACGTTCTTATGTCAAATTGTGGGATGTGGACGCCAAACTCATGCTCAACCTCCCTTTTTTTCACCGGACTTGTGACCAGCAGAAGCCCTGAAAGTTCTAGAGGCGGAGTTCTGATCAATTTAGGTGCATCAAATTACAGGAACGCTCATGCGAGAAAGCCGTATAAAATCAATTTGAGCACGAATCAAAAATGCAGGTTTTTGATGATTGTTTCGTGAGATCAAGTGAAATTATAAGGTTCAAAAGAATGAATTGAAATGAGTCCCTATCCACCTTAATGAAATAAAATTATATAATCCTAATGTGAATATATCCACAAGGAACAGCACCTTTTGAAATTTGTTTGACATTACTTCTTTACTACTTACTTTCGCTTTAAGTTAGAAATATAAGTGTTGGAGGTAGGATTGCTGCTAATTAATACTTGGAATCTTGCACAACAATTAGTGAAATGAAAAACCAGTCGATAGCAAAGTTGGAACTTGCCGAATCAATATCATTTTATCTTCAAGGATGGCTTATGTCAGAAAATGCGAATACAACTCAACAAATCATGTCATCTTTTCATCGGGCTTCTAGTCTCTACATCAATCGTCTTATTGTTCAATTGATACTCCAAAATGGAAGTTCACCTTTATTTTCAATGTATATACTTCCAAGTGGTTCATCATCAAGGAAACAATATATTTATGTAAGTTAAGGAAACGTATATAATTCGGTTATTAGAATACAAAATGTATCTCCATATTTTTTAATTTGCATAGGACACTTTCAGTGTGAATTGTGTGGCAAACCACCTCAATAAAGAATATATTATTTTCACGTTTTCCAGCCAACACATCATCAGAGATGTGAATTCCACCATCCTCCTAATTGTTATTTAGAGTATTAATTTTTTAAATTTAATCACGGCATACATAGGTATGCCGTTGTGACAATCACTAAGCGAAACCTAGATGTTCGATTCCCCTGCTGTTACTCTACTCAGCGAATTTTGTTTTTCATGAATAACAATGTTGACTTTCATAATTTACTTGATTTTGCCGTAAATACTGTGAAATATTACCATGCTCTCGATGGACAAGTCAGTTTTACTGTTTTGGATAGTAAACTCTGAATTCCGCTACGGTTTATGAAACAGGAAAACGAACTTTTACAGGTAAAATTAATAATTGGCTATCATAAACTGATAGACGTGTGCAGCTGATTTGAAAAGTTGATTGAAACGTTGTTGCACAAGAGATGTTTCCGAATACAACCAAGTTGAATCCATTCATTTTCGGATGAAAATCTTACAAATTTCCTGATTAACAGCAAATGCACTTCATGATCTTTTATCTAAGAACATATTTCATAAGTTTACTCTCAGCTTTACAATATTTCGTTAGAATAAGTAAAAAAATTGTAAATAAGTTGTTGTTTTTTCAGATTTCCCCAGGATTGCTGGACGCTTTCAATACTTGTATGTTAAACATGGTATGTTGAAACAATCGACTGTTACCTGTTTATATTTATTCACGTAAATAGTGTATGACATTTACTGTATCATTTTTTAATATTATAAGACTATAGATATTTAGACTTTTGAAAAAAAAATTGTAGCTGTAGTGAATGATTGCGGTGAAGTTTCTTCAATGAAGCTACATGTTGTGGCTGTGAACGATTCATTGTATTACTTAATAATTTCATCTTTACACAAAACTAAGAAGAAAATTGTTAGAATTTCTCTGCGTATTACAAGTAACTTCTTTTGTTAACTGCGTTGTTGATTTATTTTCATTCACCGTAAGACAGCCTTTTTGCACCTTCATTTTGATTGTGTGTCCCTTTGAAATGATTTTCTTTCCTATTGTCATATATTATCTGGCTGGGTAATTTGTGGATAGGATCAACGCCGATGTGTTTGCTGAGTGCAGCGTGACCAGGAAGTCAATATTGTAAAAACTCTTCGATTTTTGCTGTGTTTGAGTTATTCAGCATCTCAACATTGTTCTAACCAAAAACATGACGAGAGTTGTTCCTTTGTATTGATATTAGCGAAGCGATGTCGTTGCTTTTGACTGCAATTTGATGTTCACGCATTAGAAGCTGAAGAATATGTCCACTTTGTTATACATAGTGCTTTTCGCAGTAGTCTTGATTTATTTTGCGTTTTTTGTGCTTCGGTTTATATGGCATCAATCGTTTGTGAACAACACATTTTTCAAGTGTTTTTTCTGATTTGTGCCGTAATTTTTGATTTGTGTTTAATGTATGTTTGGATGACCCGTTGGCTGGACTTTATTTAGCTTCTATTGCTGGTATCAGTTGATTTTCCTGAAAGAGTTGGATAGCCTTGGATAGCTTGTGCTTTTTTTCCTAAAATTGTCGAATATTGCTTCAGAAATGACTTACGTTAACACTTGAACTAGTTATAGTAAGTAAATTAGTTGAGCTTGTTGAATGCTACACTTATTTTGACAGTATCGACATTTTTTTTTGTGATGACATTTCAGCATAAGATCATAAAGTTCGACCGGCTTTTGCGTTCATTCATCACCGAGGGCGTCACCAAGATATCTGCTTGCTAATTGCAGTATGACTCGACTACATGTTATTAGTTTATTATGTTATTAGTTATGTTATGTTATTAGTTTATGTCTATGAAAATAGTGGAGGACGAGTTCGGAAAATTAATAACGAACGCCGAACCACCGTCCATACAAATTTGCTATGTTTCATGATCCAGCCATTTGCTGAATAAACCAAGGGTCTGAGACAAAATTCATTGACAGATAAATGAAGCTATTTGTGTTCTCGTTTAATACGTGTTTGTAGTCTGCAAGATAATGGTTACCAATGCTAAAAGACTATGAATGCACGGTTAGGGTGTGGTGAATATGTAGTCAAAAACTGTCAACCTTTAAAGTGGTTGGTTGAGAAAGATACTTTCGGCTCTCGTTATTCCATTTACACTCATAAATCGTAACATTTTTTGCAAGACGTTTGTTGAAATCAAATTTTAGAATGATGTCTCAGAAGAGATCACGAAGACAAAAATTTTCAAATACTTGCAAAATGTCGGAGCTAATTCCAATACTATATATATGTTGGACGGTGTGTTCGAATTTTATTCTCAAATTAAAAACGTAAGTGGGACCAATTAAAACAACAATCATTATTTCACATTTATCTCTAAGTGCAAACAAATTATTGTCATCAGCATCTGACAAAACTAAAACTCCGAACTGAGTTTCAGCGAACACCTGACTTGGTAAGAACAGAATAAAATTATAAACATCTGACGAAACTATTTAAACAATTCTCATGATCGGAAAAATACGTGAACTTTTATTATTGAAATTGTCCATCATAATTTCGTTGCTTCCTGAGAATAGAACAGTTCATTGTTCGACTAATGAAACAAATATCTGGGAGACTGCTTCTTCTTCTTTCAAAGATTGTTAAAATCCAAAAAGTCAGTATATTTAATCGATAATGGTAATAACATAAGTCACTGATTCGTTCCTCAAATCTATATTATGTCAAAAGCTGGTCAAAAAGTTTTAGCTGACTGCGATATGTATTTTCTCCATAACAGTTATGGTGATTATAATATTTCACACATCGAAATCATCACGCAACCGATGTCAGACCATTATTGAATTCGTTAAAGTAATGGTGGTTGTTTTATCCTAGTACAGCATTATTCATCAGAGCGCAGCCATGACTGCTGCACCGGCAGGAATCGGAACAAGGAATTTCAGTGAATACAAGATAGGGTTGAGGCCGTTGTCTAATCCTTTCGTGTATAGACATTAGGCATCAATGATATTCTGTAAAATCTCTTTCTTTTTGAGAACTAGAAACAAACGTCGTTGCGAGCGGCCAAATATTCAAGAGGTTGAGCATTTGTGTGCAAAAATCTAAGTTCGGAGTTCAGAACATTTGATGGGCAGAAGAACGGGACGCGAGTTTTTGATGAGTCCAATTCGGAAACGAACCATCCGTCTCGTTCAGTCAGTGATCGAATAATTACACAAATGTTTTATACTTTTGTTGATTTACTCGCTTTATTTCAGAAATCAGTATATCCAGAAGACAAAACTGCCAAGCTCAAAGATTTGGAAAAAACTTGTTCGCTAGTAAGTTGTGACTTGAATATAATTTGAAGTTGTATGCTAACTCAAATATCCCTCCTGAGCTTCTGCAATAACTCTATTGACATATCTTCAGATATAATGATATTCGCCCTGCGTTCATGGTCGTTACGGATAAATCTGATTCAAGTTTTTTAGAAGCCTGTAAATAAACTTGACAGTATATTCAGAAATACCGTATATACGTTGTCTTTAGGTGGCATTTTTCGTCCCGTTCTTCTCATCCTTTGATCAGAACCTCTTGCACAAAATGTGACACCTTCAATCTTTATAAACTACCAGCCTGAATAAGGACTTTATCGAAATAATAAACATCATTTTCTAGTTAGGACATAGGACGCCTGTGTTTCCTGTTGACCTACATAATATGTAACGCTAGCTTTTTCGTCCTGATCAAATTTATCACTACGTAGAGTGACATAATCCTAATTTATCAGTTCTCTAGTAGACTGTTCATGCTACATGACTATTTGATGTAACACCACCGGGGAGAATTCCGAAATAACACATTTATTTATATGTCATTGAGCATGAATAAGTTGTGGCAATGTTACGTATATAGAATTGTCCTTTGTATATTTGAACTACTAAAAAATAATTGAAGCTGATCAAGTATTTTGATTTGATCGCAGAAATTGTATATAAATCACTATTCCCAGTTACTTCATAATAAATAAAATGGTAGCCTAATCTTCCACAATTAGCACAAGATATCTTTTCTACCATTGATGATGCTGTCTTGTTACGTCTTGATCAATAACGATTCAATGTCACACAGTGGTGCGTGGAGGAAGATTATGAAGCTGATGAAAGATGTTTTCATTGTGGGACAAAATATTTGTGCGGAATAAGCCGCGAGATGACAATCGAACACGCATATATCTACTTCATATATCATTCCATTTGTTAGCATCCGTGATATTATACATATTATTATCTTTGAACAGATCCGCTGGAATTTTGTATTTACTGGATTATTCAAACCAATGAATTTTAGTCCGCAATGGAAAGATCTGAATATTGTTGTCAGAGATCTCGATTTCTTAGGTTATGTTTGTAGAAAGTTTGAAGAAGCTATTGCGAATGATGAAGGAAGAAGGTAGTTCCTCAAAATTTAATTTTATTCTCCCGAAAGAAGTTATTCCACAAGATGTAATGTCTTACAATTCAAAATAACCTATTCAATGCACGAACTCACACTGAAAACTGCACTGATTCTTTAGTTTGTTAGCTTGTTAACTTTACACACGCTTCACATCCAATTTCATGCATGCAGTTGTACTCGTTATATTCACCGTTTTATGGTCACAGGACTAACTTTTATCGTGAACGAACCAGTCAACAATACATAATGTTTGATAACTCAGATAGTTATAATTATATTGGATGTGAAGCTGCCGAGATTAGTTTGAAAGCATAGATGCTACAAGAATCTGCGGCAGATTCTACCGCAGTTTCCCAGACAAGCCTTTAGAAATCAATTCGAAAGTTAAGCAAATTAGTTGTAATCATCACGGTATTAAGTGACTATACAGAAGGCAAATACCAAAGATTTCAAATTACCTGGATGAATATCACAAAGAATGTTATCTCTACGACAGCCAGGCTATTTTGCACGTTCATTTTCCTGCCCATTTGATAGATCAGCATTCCTAAATTTATCAACATCTTTTTCTTTCTACATTATGCAGAGCAATTTTGAAACGGATACTAATTGCGTGTTGGCTAAACAAGTTATTTCTGTTTTTCCTCTTGTAGAAATGTACACAATATGATAGTGATCACATTTTTGTACAACATGCGAAGACAAATAAATAACCATGTAGGAGAATTTTATCCTCTCGATAATCGTAAGTGTCTTTATCAATTATACGGATTCGATCACGCTTTTCGATGTTTTCGAACATATAAAAAACAAGGCAAACATTGAAATCGAATTAACAATAGAAACTGTTTTGTTTGTCAATGATTTTAGGAACGTGTTCATGTGTTTACAGTAACTGCATGAATTGCCACGCAACCTCATTAAAATGCATCAACGGAAGCTAAATCTAGTACAACAAGCAATAAACGGATCATCCAATCATATATAAAGGATTACATGGGATAATGTGGACCGCCTCGTCCGCTTTGCTTACGGAAACATCAATCGGTAGTCAAAAGCCACGTAAAGCTCCAATTTTACCAATGCGAACTATCAATTATGATCATATGTAGGATTGTGACAATGAGGAAATAATCGAGAGTGGAATCACGAAGAAAACCAGAGAATTTAGAAGCCTGTAACTTAGGTCAATCAGCAATCATCAAAGAAAAGTGCAAGCTAACGGTCAAACGCAGTGACATTTGAATGCCTAACTTCTATCTAAAGTGCGTGCTCCAAAAATAGAACATCTGGGTCGATGAAAAAAACAACACCATACTCATTCTAAAAGTATATGTACAATTTGCCATCAATATCTTCTGTTCTTCAATCAATACACCCTTGAAAAAGAGCGAATTCATTTTTGATTGTTGTGTGAGTTTAACCGGCAACCTAATTTCAACGAGGTAGCATAAAATAGCTTATTCGCAACTGTACTGGTTATGAAAAAAGTAATGTATCTAAAAATTGGAAATAAAGATATAAATTAATATTGAATTACAGGCTTTTGTGACTCAAGATTAGTTTGGTTTTGTTCAAACACAACATTGTGCTGATTAATTATTTATATGGTAAATATAAAAAAACTTTTCCACATAAACAATTTATTTAGATGAACAGTCAATTGGATGCGTCGATGAAGTGAGAGAAAATTTATGGTGGTTATTTGAACGACATAATAAATATCTCAGTATAAATGAGAAAACGAAGGCTGAAGTGAGTAATTCATTTGATTGATTATTATCTCAACTAGATGACTGCGACAAGGAATCACTCTGAGTTTTAAGAAAGTACACTTTCATAAGCATGTTTAGCCCAGGTTTAGTTACAATTTATTTGTTTTATAAGAAATATGGATGATGACTAGTCTAGCTTCAGAATTCCACCGTTCCCACATACACTTGAGTTCGATTCCTATAAATCGGTGATTTGATACTGTACGATTCCGTATCCGCACTTTGATGCAAATGACTAATGGGCATGTATTAAAATAATTGTAAATGACTTGCAAAGGGTATGCAAACTGTTTAATCGATTTCTCTATTTTTGTTGAATAGGTTGAGATAATATTTAGTGAATTGAAATATAAATTGAACAAATTATTGTCTTCAAAATCATGGATCGATACAGCGAATAAAAATAGAGCTGTTTCGTGGGTGGGTTTATTTTGGATGAATTGTGTAAAAAATAACCTCTGTACTTTATTCAGGTTCAAGAAATTCGATATTCCGAAGCTAATTTAAATCTGTTTCGTGAGAGGACGTATATATACCGAGATGTAATTTTATTGGTAAGTTCATCATGCAGGAAATTTTTTTTTCGGCATTCTGATGATGGTTTATCGTGCCAAAAGTGTAATTTGTTTTGAATGAAATCCCAAATTTGGCTGTGTAACTTATTGGTTTGCAATATGACTTGAGGTGAAATCAGTTAATTATGAATTGTGTGTTGTTTGGTTGAGTTTATTTAGAAGTAATTTCAGTAAACTGATCTGAAATAACTGGTCAGCAATTAATTCTGATTGGTTCGATCGATGAGCTGATCCGGAGAATCATTATAGACGGGTCGATACTGAATTTCTTTTTTCGGAACGCGAAGAATTAAGAGAAGGAGAATCAAATATCACTTCGTCATGATAAAATCACTTATGTAAAGTTCTGATTATCTGATAAAATTATGTTTCCGTGTACTCATATGAAGCCACCGAAATGCTCACGGATGTATAAGCATTTTCAACTAAATGATCAAATCACAACACAGAATGAGTAAAATGTTGACACATGTTGGCATACAGTAATTAGTGTTTTTGAATTCATTCAACTATTTTTATTTCGTACAAAGACTTTTACTAGATGTACTAATATCAGCACATTTCAGTTTCATCCATCATCAGCACAGTGTATACTATCAGATAGGGTTAATTCTATTCATATTTCGGACAAAAGGTTTTTAAAAAATTCTCATTACTGGATGCACATTTTATTTGTGGTAGCATCAAAGCGTTCAACATCTGCACGGCAGTCGTGCATCAAGAGATTATATTTAGAAAGCCCCTACATTGATATGTCCGTTGATTTCCTAATGCAGACGTTTAAAGTGTATTTAACTGCCGAACACTTAAACGAGCGGTCTAAACACCGTTATTTAACGCAGGAATCTAATTATTTTCTATCCATGGATCAGTGGATATCAATCAAATATTGTTTTTATTCGATAATAAATAGCTCAGTAACCCATGGTTATACAACTTCACGGATAATTAATGCCTTTCTGTGTGGACAGGCTGTCAATAGTTCATCGTGATATGCGAATGGTTGTCAGTGAATGACTTAACATCGAATTGTTTGAATGACAGTTTTTCCTTTTCATTCACGTTTTGAGACTATAACTGGCAAAACACCAATCCTCATTAAGTAATTTTTTATTTCTATTTCAAAATACTTGAACCTGGAATTATCAGTTACACACAAAATCTTATTGGATCCGTATCATTCCCCAATATTTATTTGGCTGCTTCGGTATTACATCGATCATTTCTCAGTGAATCACAATCAATGTCTGAAAACTATGGAATTCTCGGGTGGCTTATTGGTCGTCAACTGATATCCGAAAGTTGGTTTTGTAATATTTTCTCTAGAATAATCTTGAGCAAACTAAAGGTTTTCCGAAATAATTGGGAGCAGAGGATATTTGCTTATCTAATGTTTACAGGCAATTTATCAACTGAGTCGTATCGACCATGTAAATATGGGCTCCTTCTGTTTAGTTGCCGGCAACTTTTTGTTTGAGATAGGATAAAAATTAGGGCGCTTACTTCAATGCAACGACGCTAGATTTTTGTTGGAAAAGTAAGAGGAGAACGAATACCAGTATGTGCAGCAGTAGCTATTCACTTAAGATTCACAGGATAGGTTCTTAAATGACTGTACCCGTCGGATTTCAGGCTGTGAGAAATACACATATTCAGTACCTCAACGGATAAATTTCGAATGAAATACTGTTGATGACAGCTGAGATGGAAAATCTTTCTTCTGAAAAAAATTAAATTTCGATTCTCAAAACGCTGAATGAATAAGTCAATGGAAATTGAATGATTATAAATATCGATTGCTTTAATTACATACTCAAACCTACACAGAGTCGGAAGAACTGTTCTATTTAATTTTTATCGTTGCAAACTGCAAAAATCGAATCAATGAGTGTGGTATACTTCAGTACAATATTTTCAAAACTTGAATGATGAATTAGAATTTTTGATAACTTAGAATGCATGCATTTTATTTCTCACCTTCAAAGTAGTGAAGAAATAAGGCACTCATATAGTGTTTATTTCTTAAAAGTAAACAGTGCTGTTATAACGTTTGAATTATAGCTTTTAGAACACATCAGTTTGATGTACAAGGCCACATATGTAAAACGAAACTCTTGTCACCGCTTGAACACCAAATGTGTTGTTTATCAAAACAAATTAGCGATCGAGCGATTGAAAAAATAGTAGGTCGTTCAATTGAAAGCGTTTAATTTGTGTTTCTTTTCATTATTGCTGATTTTTTACCTAGGTTGCGTTCGATATTTTTAGGTGTATCTATATAAATGAAATGTATTCAAACGGTGATATTCCGTTGAAAAATGAAACATTCTACTTACGGTAGAAAACGCTAGCCATGTGTGGATTTTCAGTGAATAGGAAGGCAGTCGTTTAACGAAATTTTACGTTTCCAAGTCAATTAGCAAGTCGGTTTAAATGATTTAAAACATTTCACTGTTTAGGTGGACTGTTATTCACTCATCTTCTTGTACATTTCCATAAGACGGATATTTATTTTTATCGATACAATATTTTTGTCATTGAGATCGCTTTTCAAGTGGTAACCTTGAATCGAAATGTGTACGACAATGCAACGATCAATGAATTTATTTTTGATAATTATCAGTATTTCATGTCAGGAAAATAGTTATTGTGGGACGTTTTCGATAGATTATCGATTAGTTTTGACTGAACATATAGATCGGCGTTTGCAGTCAGATTTTCATTAGCTTTTAGGATATAATAAAATGTCATAAATCAAATCAACGTAATGAAAATTGATTTACGGATACTCCAACCTCCGATGCCAGTTTATTCAGGCCCACAAAACACTTTTAAAGCTAACTTTAGAAAACGATATTTTCTGAATCGATATTTATTGATCAAACCAACATATGAGTATTACAAAACAAAAACAAATTAAATGATTTATATCACGTTAGAAGGAGCAGAACATAGTGTAGGTAAATCAAAATATCTTGATATGTTTTCATAGATGTTCAAAAACCTTACTTTAACTGAAAATTATTTGTTCATACTAGGATTCAAAGCAACTGGCAGCTGATATCAGTGGTCTTATGTTAGCGTTCTCAGTAAGTGATTTTATTTTTGGTTGTATGCATTCCTTTCTACCAACAAATAGTTCTTCCGTTTGAACTGTGTAGAAGCATGAGCTGAATTTTAACCGCATTGGATTATTCTGTGATGAAAAAAGCATTTGGATCCTATTTTATTTGAGTCAACGTTAATCGACAACAGTTTGATTTGTGGATGATTTCTGTTTGATATTGAGTTAAAGAAAAATGGGAGATTACTGATGTCTTCTTACTCAGTATCTATGTAACTTAGGATTTCAAAATCTACTCATGTCAAATATTTCGTTATTTTGTCATCAACGTCTATGAAATGCATTATTTATTTGAAATTTATTGAATAAAATACTATACTCTATTACATACAACAGAATAATCGCAGTTCAATAGTAACTAAAATGAGATCTCGCATTCATTATTTGATAAGTTTTCGATTTCTAGAAAATTGCAACTTACAATGTTATGTGATTGCTTCATGTCAAATGAAACCTTGATATCGTGTGATCATCAAACAATCCATCATATTTTCTAGCTGCAATAATCAGAATTCGAATGAAACTCAAGTATGGGAACACGACTGACAATTTTTTCTGATTGAACAGCAAAATTACTCGTACTTCAGCACCAGAATGTCAAGGAATTCTTTGTAAGATTATCAGGCAAATATTCGCGGTACCTACATGGGTTTTTTCAATCTGAATAATTAGACAGTCATAGTTTGATATGCAGTTATTTAAAATGAAGTAATATTTCTGAATGTTTATTCACAAGTAACATGGTGTATTGTTCATTGCTTTACCTTTTATGTAGCGCTTCAAGGATGTCCTCCAAAGCGATGATAATGATTTGGAGAAAATACAGTCCTTTTTCGAAACATTTGCTAAAGTTGGTTATGCACAATGCAATGATTTCATTCACACATCATCGAGTTAATTCATATGAAATGCTATGAGTTATTATCATTTATGCGTAGTAGACTAAAACACTAGAAATCAAATCTTTTTATGAAACTAGTGGTTCACACAAAAGTGATAGTTTGATGCAATGAAACGGACATTTTGAGACACAAAAACTATGAAATTCTTTCAGTTATGAGGATTCGTATTGAAAAATTAGGTTTGATGGGCTAGTAATCCCAGATACAGATAAATTTCTAAAGCTTCAGAACGAAAATATGTCTTTTCCTCATCTTAGATACATGATTGATGATGAAATTCGCTAAAATTTTATTCGTGTAAGAAAGTGAAGATGACCATGACTAAAAAACAACAGAATATATCATGATAATAAATCGCTAATAAAAGTCTTTGGTGACATGATTCAATGAGAATTTGCTTTTGAGAGCAACTGTGATCCAGAAGAACCTGTAAATAATAAAAAAAGTTTTTTGTCAGCTTATACTTAAATATACTTAAATTCTGTTTGTAATTCTATAACTTAGATGACTGATTCTACGAAATTAGTGAACTTACGTCTCCTGTATTACATTACTTAAGGATAAATCAAAAATTCCAATCATGAGTAGTAACAAGCGAATAACCAGGTTTATTCACTTATCCAAAACCTAGTGAATATATGGATAAATGTGAGATTTCAAGTGGTCCTTTCTAGAACAGTTGTTTTATAAGAATGCAACTTTTAAAAGACCAACAAACGCGCAAGCACTGAAAGAGAGGCCGTTTGACAACAAAATTCAAAGCCCTTTTGGTCAGGTGATCCGTCATCTTTTTCTGTCATTTAGGACTTAAATTTCTTCAATAATAGCGTATGAATCCATCGACTTATATTCACAGTTTGGTTTGCTCAATGCAGTTGACTACGTTTTAGTTTCGTTAAGATAATTGTATCGTCAAACTATGATGCATTTGAATGTTGAGAACAGTGTAATTTGAAACAGCTTCTCCATTTTATAGACATTACCTTCCAGTCTTTACAAATAACAGCTTATTAAGTTTTCATCTGCACTGA